CAGTCCCCCATTCTCACTGCTCCCCGTGGGAGCCAGTCCCCCATTCTCCCCTCTCTCCCCTCTCTCCCTGGGTGAAGAAGTTTTCCCCTGAATTCCTCATTCAATTTCTTCATGACTCTGTGATATTGACAGGTTCCGTTCTCCTGTGCACGTGGAAACAGCTCTACATCTGCACTGTCCAAACCCTTTCCTCATTCACAAGACCATCACTAGGTCAACCTCTGTCCTGTTTACAGGTTACTCTCAGCCAGTTTCTCCTTCCTGCTGGGTATAAGGTGACAACTCCTGTGTTTGTTTCTGCTCATTTCGGGGACATGCGTGTTGCTGGGATGGACCTGTATTTGTTGCCCATCCCTGGTTTCCCCTTGCGAGGTGGTAGTGAGCTGAGGTTTGGACAGATCGGTATCGCCCTCGGAAATCGTACTTTGTTCCCCCTGTAATGCTGGGAGCTGCAGACCCAGACATACGGTGCGGGTTTAACGTATGAGGTTCCGCGAGACCATTACAAGCAGAAGGAGAAACCTGGAATTTGAAACATGGGGAGGGAATTGGAGGTGACTCCTGACCGAGCTGCCTCCGGGGGGTTGAGGGGGGTGTTGTTATAGCCCGACTGCACTGTACCTCACGGTGTTATGAGCTTGCCCAGCACTCGGCCAGCTGCATTCAGCTTTCTGCACTCAAACAGCAGCTCCTGCAGCATCACAACTCCCCCACTCTCCTCTCTCTGTGTCTCTCTCTCTTCTCTGTGCAGCTCATACAGAAGAAGGGAAGAAGGAACTGATCTTCCTCTGCAACTACAACCCGGGCACCTTCGAGAGGATCTGCAGCTCCCTCTGAGGCCTCTCCTTCCCCCGCTCACATCTGAAGCGCCGCCCCCTGTGACGAGGGGACAGACTTTTTCGGCAACGTCTGGGTCTCAGGTTCACGTTCTCCTTGTCCTCCTCTCCAACCCCGCACTCACCCTCTAACCCTGTCTGTACCGTCGGCCTGTGGCACTCCCACTGGCCTGTTTACCCAGACGTTCCACCACTGAGTTATCAAACTGCTGTTGGCAGCTAAAGTCTGCTTCATCATTTATGTCTACACGTGACTTGTTCAGCTTGAGAACCCCAATTACTCCCTGTCCAAACCTTTCTCTGATTTGGAAGCCGGGATATCCAAATGCTGGGGCTGCTGGCCTCAAGGAAAAGTCCTTACTCTTCACTGATACTGTCCATCCAGTTTCTGATTTCTCTTGTGTTAGTATTTTTGAACACAGAAATCCCATATAGACTCACTTGGGATCAGCTTCGACTGTGGACTCCTGGCCCCCGCCCCCCCGCTTACAACTGGAGCATCATGTTCAAGTCATTTGCAATGTAGTTTGCAGTCTGTTCGATGTAATATCATTGCATATACACCATTCACCTCCATTTGCAGATATTTCAATTCACAATTAAAGTGGTACTCAATGTTTTTATTTCTGAATCCTGTGTTTTTGTGTAATTCAATGCGTTTGGAAATCCAAAGTAAGCCTGAGGTCTGTGCACCATCTCGGTGTGAGTTGCACAGGCCAGCAACTGTGACTCTAAAGTGGATCAGTTGTGCTTGCCTTTAGGAAAGGAGGGGTGCAAAATGAGACAGAAATGCTGCTGCTGCTTCCTGCAAGCCAGTGGGTGCGAGCAGCTTTTTGGGTATAGTTGGGTGTGCACATAGCAACTAGCAGCAGGAGTGGACCACTTAGAGTCATACAGCACGGAAAGAGACCCTTCAGCCCAACCAGTCCATAATCCTAAACCAAACCAGTCCCACCTGCCTGCTCCTGGCCCATACCCCTCCAAACATTTCTCATTCATGTACTTATCCAAATCTCTTTTAAACTTTGTAACTGTACCCGCATCGAGGGAGGTGATGGCCTAGTGGTATTATCACTGGACTGTTAACCCAGACACCCGGATATCGTTTTGGGGACCCGGGTTTGAATCCCACCACAGCAGATGGTGGAATTTGAATTCAATAGAATATCTGGAATTAAGAATCTAATGATGACCATGAATCCGTTGTCGATTATCGGAAAAACCCATCCGGTTCACTAATGTCCTTTAGGGAAGGAAACTGCCATCCTTACCTGGTCTGGCCTACATGTGACTCCAGACCCACAGCAATGTGGTTGACTCTAAACTGCCCACTGGGCAATTAGGGATGGGCAATAAATGCTGCCTGGTCAGTGACGCCCACATCCCGTGAATGAATAAAGGATCACTTCCTCTGGAAGTTCATTCAACACACGAGCCCCTGTTGTCTTTTTTTTAAAAAAATTGCCGGTCGTGTCTTTTTAAATCTTTCTCCTCTCAGCTTAAAAATATGCCCCCTACTCTTGAATTACACACCTCTCCAGAAAAGACACCAACTATTCACCTTATCTGTGCCCCTCCCGACTTTATAAAGCCCTATAAGGTCACCCCTCAACCTTTTACAGTCTAGTGAAAAAAAATCCCAGCCTGTCCGATGACTCCAACCCTCCCTTTGTGGCAATGCCCTGGTAAATCACTTCTGATCCCTCTCCAGCTTAATAATATCCTTCCAGAGCTGGGCACAGTGCTCCAGAAGAGGCCTCACCAACGTCCTGTACAACCTCAATATAACATCCCAACTCCTATACTCAAAGGTCTGAACAATGAAGGCAAGCGTGCCAAACACCTCCGTAACCCCCCTGTCTATATCTTGCTGCCTTGTGCCTGATTTATTCACTCCGTGTTCTCATCAACCTCCAAGATCCTTTCACTCCCTTGTTGTGGTTTTATTTCCCAGTTCCCCTGCCCACACCTGACACTGCTCACTATCACTGATCTCAAGATCCCCTTTCAAAGCTTGTTTTTAACGTGTGCGTGAAATCTGCCTTGTCTGTTTTCAAGATCTTTGGCAAGAGAACCAGAGGGGAGATGAACTCATGTTTGCGCCCCTTACCAGAGGAAAGATTGTACCAGCTTTGGAGATAGCCCAGATATGATTCACTTGGTCGTTCCCCGATATGGAGGGATTTTCTTAAGAGGAGGGGCTCAGTTCTGACAAAGATTCACTGGACTCGAAACGTATGGCTTTGTTTCTCTCTCCCTGTACAGATGTGGCCAGATCTGCTGAGTTTCTCCAGCACTTTCTGCTTTTGTTTCAGATTTCCAGCATCCAGAGTTCTTATTTTAGAGTTTGAGTGTGTACTGATTTTGTAGATTCTGTACAGTTTGGAAGCAGGCCCTTCAGCCCTTCAAGTCCACGTCGACCCACTCCATTTCTGTAACCCTGCATTTCCCATGGCTAGCCCACCTAGCTTGCACATCCCCGAATGCTACAGGTAATTCAGCACGGCTAATCCACCTAGCCTGCACATCCCTGAACACTACGGGCAATTTAGTATGGCCAATCCACCTAGCCTGCACATCTTTGGACTGTGGGAGGAACCGAAGCACCCGGAGGAAACCCACAGGGAGAATGTGCAAACTTCACAAACAGACAGTCACCCAAGGCTGGAATTGAACCTGGTGGTGTGAGGCAGCAGGGCTAACCACTGAGCCACCGTGCCGCCTCCCAGTTTAGAAGAATAAGAGGTAAGCTTGTCGAAACATCTGAGATTCTTGGGTAAAACAAAGCCAAGAACTGTGGATGCTTGCGGTCTGAAACATCAACAGGAATTGCTGGAGAAACTGTGTAAGTCTTGTCGAGAGAAAACAGACTTAACGTTTTGAGTCCAATGACCTTTGAGAAGATTCTTGGGTGAGTTGGCAGGTGAATGTGGAAAGGTAGTTGTGGGACAGTCAAGGACCAGGGGGCATTATCTCAAAACAAGGAGTCACACATTCAAGACAGAGGAGGAGGAATCTGAGCGTGTTGAATCTTTGAAACTCTTTGCTGCAGACTGCTGCTGAGGCTGGGTCGTTTAACTCTGTTC